TCTGCTCCACGCTTGCTAATATATAACAGGACATTGGAGTAAATTCTTGACCATCTCCCACTTCTGTTTAATCAGTTTTCTGTTTGACGTTTATTCAGCTGTGTGAAAACTATAACTTTAATCTCAGCCAAACCGATTTACTCTGGAACAAATAAAACACTGCGAAAAAGCCAAACAATAACATTTTTAAGTTATCTAAGTGACTTATATATCATGTTTAACCCCAGTAGTGAAAGACAGCGGGAAGTCTGAAAAGGATGTGCCGGTAGTCCAGTGTTCTCACTGGCTCTAGTGAGCCTTGAACCCCCGGCTAGCTATCGAGCTGGTAACAGACGTCTCTGAAAATGTCGGAGCGCTTTTGCAGATATGTGGTGTCTTGATAAACTGAGCAGATATTTGAAGTTTACACGGCTACATTCTCGCCTGAAAATATCTTAGAAATGTATTTTGTGACCCAGAAAGAGTAAAAACAGTAATATTAAAACTAAGTAGCTGCCACCATTGTTGAAAAGTGGAATTGGCTGGGACGTGCTATGAATTCTGGGATAGACTGGGCCACGAAGCATACACCCACCATTCCTTCAAATTCAGGGAAATGAAGGACGCATTTGGAGCAGCCTTTGAATTGGGACAGCCTTCATTGCGTGGCTGTGATGTAATCAGCCCTCAAACGCGGCCTCCGAAGGATGCAGCCTATGAATTGGGACGTACCGTTATTCAGGTCAGGCTGGGAGTACAGATCTTTATAGTATGTTTCAAAACTCTGCTGTATTTCAATAATATCATTATGTATAATGACAGTTTTAGGGTGTTTTATTTTATGGATGGTACTATCCACTTGGTGCTTTCTTAGCTTAAAAGCTAACCACTTTATTTATTTTAATAATTTTGATTAAGGAAAATAAACTTTTTCCTTAAACTTCTTCCTTGAGATCTAATTGTAATTCTCCAAGTTTCTCTTTTTTCTGCTTTTTAATTAGGGAAGTGTAGGCAATAATTTGGCCCCATGGACGGTGTCACATCCCCCCTTGTCATTTTCCTAAAAGTATGCGTCAGTTCTGCCAATGTCGCAAGTTTTAACTTTATGTTGGTCCTTACTTAATGTGAAAAAATAATCAGTTCTCGAGTGTGTAGAGTGGGGAGCCGAGAAGGATTAGCATCTCTCCAGATGT